GTGTGCATGCGACACTGAACGGTGTGAGCAAATAAAAGAAATCAATAAAACAGAAGGGGGAGGATCTATAACCATTTGTGCTAAAACGAGCTAAGCATACGGAGTCTGCTGGGTGCTCGTGAAAGCTGTAAAAAAAGAAAATGAATGCGGAAACTAAAAACGACGAAACTGTACCTGAAACAATAATAAGGTACATAAAAATATAAGGCTTAGTCTTAACCAATTAAAATAAGCGTTACAGTTCTATGAAATAATCGGAAAAGAATTTCGGTGCTTCAGTCTACAAATAATATGAATGATATTCATGATTTCGATCTTTAACGAGAATTTCGATGAGATTAAACGCGTCATCTGATTAAAAGTTATCTGCTGTAAAATCAGAAAGCTTTTGTCGTGTCCGATTATTTTAGGAAAGTGCGATTTAAGTGTGTGTATAAAGAATACGATAAAAAGCATATTTCTTCCATATGAAAATAAAATTGTTGAGCTGATTAATTAATTGGCTGGACTAACCGAACCAATTACCTGACTCAACCTCTCATAACTCGAATTCAAATACTGTAAAATTTTTATCTTTCTTTGTTTTTCCCTCTTAATTAGTTTTCCGTTTAAACTTCATTCGAGTTTATCAATTTTGGAATTTGAAAATTATTTAACTTCAGAATTTGTTAATATTGTGATTAAGGCGTTTTTAATGTGTCGTATAATAGAATAATTTTCTTTAACGCTGAAACTCTTCAACTTTCAATCTTGAAACATTGTACATTCTGAACTGCAGAAAATTTCAATGTTAGAACAATGGAATTTCGAAATATCTAATTTATTATATTTTGAAATTCCACAACGTGAACTCTGTTTAGAATTCTAAAGATCTGGATTTCCGAAATTGTGGAAATCTGAAGTTATAGTATTCTGAATTTCGAACAACCCTTAACTCTGAGGTATTGGACTTCCGAAACTCTGAAGTTACGATAGTTTAGTCGCACAATAAGAATTAAATGTTCCTTAAAGGACTTTCGAGCAATTTATAGCACGTCCTAGACGTGCGAGTATATTACATTAAAACATTTTACATATTATATCGCTTATATAAATACGAGAAGGTTGGCTTCCGTTCTATTAGCTTCGAGCCTGCTAAGAACAATAATGAATCACCTGTTAAATAACCATTGACAGGCTTCCGTGTGTCATTCATGTCTCGACGAGTGCAGTTTATAATCTACAAATTTTCTTCAATGTAAAACTCGATTTATTTGTTCATTAGACAAATTTTGTATGTAACAAATTGTAATAAATTTTCTTTTCCCATTTTCCCCGTTAGTCGTTTCAGTATTTTCCACCCCTGCAAAATGAAATTTTCAACAACGAAAAACTATCCAACGTTTTCGAAATTCTCAACGACAAATCATTCTTGAGGAACTGTAAAAATAGACTAGCAAATTGTCGGCTTACGTAAATAAGAAAGAACCATCGAATCTAGTGATTTACGGCCTCACTGAAATCGTTGAAGCTGCAATCGATGCAGTTCGGCTGCACTCTGCCATATTTAGCGTTTCATATTTAATGTCCTTATTTCCGGTCACGTGTTTCTATTAGCTACACGACCTTGAAATCCTAATATAACTTCAACTCAATGAATTTCTTTAATCTTAATTCTTTTCAAATATTTTATTCTTATTCAGTATACATTAAATTAATGTTTGCCTAAATTATATCAATTACCCGTTGTTAAGTGATTAAATTACAGAAAACTGATTTTGAAATACACCAACAATATAATTTTCAAGAAAAGGAATAATATTTTAGTGTATATGTTACAGTATACGATAACAGTTTAAACACCCAAGTAATTGAATAAACGCTTTTCGTAATGAGATTTTTTATCTCTTTGCACTCGAGAGTCACTACCTAATTTTGTTTAAAAAAAATAATTGATGTCTTGTATATAATATTAAGCTTCGTATAATGCATCAATATGTGACATATGAAAATAAAATAGCTCTATTTCGGAATTTATGTATGTTTCCTCATTAGTTAGCTTCAATGGATGTCGCCTATACCTTATCAGAAAATATTGAATGTTTCTAACGAAAAACTTCCGAATGCAAAGAGTTAAGTATTTTATAAAGTGCTAATTATTCCGGTAAGCTTGGAGATTTTTCGAAGGTTGTGCATAAGAGGATCAAGTATAAAGTCGCATGATATAACAATGAATTAAATTTGTGTCGTTATCGTCGATCTCCACTGACCACATATTTCGTTGAAATTGTCTGACGATCGATTGTTCTTTTGACTCACCGCGTACCATGACCTACAAGGTGTGGTCGTAGTTTTAAGGTTATTAGGAAGAGAATATAAACTCGGCGTTAGCCACAGTCACGCGAACAATTCTTAATCGGCATTTCAGCCAGTCCACAATCACTTTAAACCTTAAACGCACAAATTCTTCTGGCACGTGCGCCATTCATGAATTCCGAACTCATTCTTCGAGTTGTACCTGCCCGTTTATTAAAAGAATATTAGGACCTGCGATAAATACTTTTCCTGTACGTATAAAAACCAAATGTACTATTCAATAAGCATAAGTTTGTATTATTGTTCGAAGTTTTATGTTTCAATAGATGACAAATTTTTTTAATTTTTTAGACAACCGAATAAAATGTTACATATTGGTTATTTGAAGAAAAAGAAATTCTGGAAAATGTAATATATAACAATAGCAAACGGAGAAAAAGAATATACTATAGATGTAATAAATATGCAGAATGGCATGTAACTAATGGTACAACCGGATAGAGACTGATTCTATCTTAAACAATAAGTCGAAAATATAGAATAAAATTTTTTCATGTGAGGCTTTGTTTTCGAGAAAATCGACTTCGAATATTCGATCTACAGTGAAATCCAATAACAGCACACGGTCAAGTGCACGCGTAGCCGGCGAATATTCGAAGTCGATTTTCTCGAAAACAAAGCCTCATATGAAAAAATTTTATTCTATATTTTCGACTTAGTGTTCAACATAGGATCAGTCCTTATCTGGTTGTACCATCAGTAACATAACACTCTGTATATATAGAAAATTTTGTTTTAACTGATTATACTGGACCTTCACATAGTGTTACAGTAATTGTAAGTTACATCAGATTGCACCATCAGAGTGGCAATAATGGAACGCTACCAAACTCTTTCAAAAGAGTATTTCACCTTTCCGCACAAACGGGAACTCGCCAAGGACAGATGATAATTAAGAATATAAAAATGGCACGAGAACACGCAGACTATTTTTGTCTTCGATTATACTCGAATCATTTTAAGCCATTTTGAATTCGAAGCGTTAAACAGCTTCAAATAGGTTATTACATGTTACTTGTATTGTATCATACTACATACTTATATTACATACAATTGGCCCACCACGTCCTTCTCGAGTTTCGAAAAACTTTGAAGTGTTCGAGGATAAGGAGACTCAGCCGCACGGTCCACCTCGGTCCTTCTAGAAAACAGTACTTGGGACTTTGCGTTACCGGGATTTCGTAAACATAAGAAGCCAGCGAAACGAAATCCGACAACGATGTTCGTTACTGTTCCGTCTACTTTCTTCGTCATGCGACTCGACTATTAACACGAGTATCCAGAATGGAAGAGTCTCCTTGGCCCTGTGCACTTTTAGCTTGACAGAGCTGGGCATGGACGTGGTGGGCCAGCTGTACTTGTGTCACATTGTATAAGCATCAATAATGAACCAAAAACTTGTCCTCGGATTTAACAACAGCATTTTTTTCCAAAAATCCAACCTACATCTCGATCATAACAAACTGCATTAGACAATTGTTACAAAACGGTATTTTTACCTTCTACTTTTGAAACACTTCAATCTGAATCATTCAATACGAAGCAAATCAATTTCATATCTTTCTTTAATATTAATTAATCAAATTTTCTATCCTTTCCTTATCTATTATTCTTTGGAGATAAGGAAATCATAAGGTTTAGTTTTATCAGTGTTCTATAGATATTGGCCGCTACTAGCCACTACGGTACTTAATCCCTCTTTTTCAGCTATAATAAATCTTTTTTATTTATGACAATAATAAATACTAAATTTAAAAATGTGCAATTCAATACACAATATTTTTTAATTTCCTGGTGCAAGAAGGACTGCTCTTATTTTATATTTTCTTACTTCTAGGTGGACACACCCTCTCCCAACCACATCCATAGATATTAAAGGGTTAATGTTAATGTTGAGATGTATGACATAAGATGCCAATAGAATCTGAAGTGAAGTTTATCAGCGAAAAAGAGATTAGGTCATCAGCATACTTTTCGGTGGTGCCATGGGTGCCATGGGTGAGGGGAGTCACCATGGCGACCGCCTGGTCGATTCCAGCGTCTCTGGTCGGGAAGAAAATCAACAAGCAGGATTCTGCTTTATCGCGGATTCATCTGACGATTAATCCGCAATGCGTGCTGTCCTCGATAATTCATAAAATCGAAGGCTCCACGGAATTTTGGATTTTATCCTTGCCAACGACCGATACTATTTCACTGATATCTCGCAAAGCAAGAAACGATGCAATTGATATTTTTAAGAAACTCTCGGTTTTACTTTAAACAAAATTTAAAAAGTACAATCTGTATTTTTAGGAGAAAGAAGATCTATATATTGTCTATTAAATCGGTAAGAAAACCAGTAGATTTATTTAGTGAAACATCAACTGAATAATCAAGATTTATCATGGTAATTGCTACATAAACATTCTCGAATCTCATAAAGTCTAATAAAATTTCGTTTATGTGATGTTTTCCTATAAAAATTACTTCAACTTGACAGTGAGAGTGTTATAGCGATTAATTACTTTGCTAAACGGTTGGAGTCACGCGATGTTCCGGCCGTAATATTCTTCTTTAACCATTTCGGTTTTGACTTCGTTTAAACCGCGATTATCAAAATTATCTTATTGTTAGCAGTTTGTTAAACGAAAAAAATTCTGTGTTTATTGTAAGATGATGTTTACTATGAAAATTAACCCCTTGTCTGTCGTATAATATCATTCTATGATACCATACCTTAGTATGCTATCGTACCCTAAATAATATTATCTTAGACTTGTGGCAAAGATTTCAAATAAATTTCAACAAATACACACATCAACCAATTCTTTCGAGTAATTTTCAATTTTCAACGTAAGAAAATTCAACAATATCCATCTTCATCGTATAAGTTAGAATTCTCCACAAATCCAACGCGATGCCATAGGACAAAGGGTTAAACGCAGTGGCAAGAATAGAATTCATGAATTTTCGGCGTATGACATAATTTATTCGCATCGATCGACTAACTGAAACATAAAGCGAAGTGTAAATGAAATTTTAGCACGTTTATGTGTCACTCAAAATTATTACCGGCGTTATCTTATTATAACGTATTAGAGCAACATTCGGTTTGAGAAGTTTCACACGAATGCTCGGTATACTGAAATCGATACCACACATAGTATAGAAAATAGAAGCTGACATTTTGCTCTGGGTCAAAGGGAAACGGTTCAACGGGTAAAACGAAAATGGCGCGTGGACAAGGTAAAAACAGCAACCGGAAACGCGGCGACCGATCGCCGTTGTTTCTTTCGATCGAGTATTTTCTGGCAGACAGGCCGGGACCCCTTATCAAAAAACAGGAGTAACAAGCAACGGCGTCGCCGATAACGTGAGAAGATCGAACGATATCTGAGTCACTCTTTAATCAACCAGAGTGTGTTGCTTGTTACACTCTATTTCCTTCAGAATAGTTTCTCCACGCGGCTGTACGCTTCATTCAGAGGCACGTGAATCCGCGTGAGACAATATTGCCAAGCGAATGTCGGCAATCATTGCGTCAAATAAAAAATAAACAATATCCGTTTGAATTAACACGTTGAATGCCGGACAGTCCGATATCTTGGTTTCGACTCACTGTCGATGTTGATGATCGTTGTCACGTTGGTCACTAATATAAAGGAAGATAAAGAGTGAAATAAAAGATATTCATCGCCAACGTAGCTATTCGGAGAACATATTGTCGATATTAGCAAATTCAAATTACATTTGATTTTTCCGTCTACGAATATTGAATTACCTAATTGAATTACGTTGTCATTAGTACACGTTTATCTTGATAAATGTTTCTGCCTTACGTTACATTATTTATCATATAGAAAAGTTTTTAAATAATCCTTGTTTAATTAAATGAATTACAGTCATTTGATTTAGTTAAGAATCACCAGTAACCACCATAGTACTCAAGATTTTAAGCCTAGCAATTAAATATTCCGCGTGGCTCTTTCGCGCTGTGATTACGCTATGGTAAAATAAACATGAACGGTACGCGAAACAATGTCTGAGTGGCCATTATTTTCGAATGATACAAAGACAAAGTTCTTCTGTCTCGAAAGAAGAAGGATAAGAAAACTTTATGTTTTTATTCTTTTGAAACAATCGACGCTTTTCTGTAAACCGCTTGCATGCATTTAATCTCAGCGTAAACATGGCGACTCGGCGCGAAAGAGCCACGCAGAATATTTAATTACCATGGTTAATCGAGACGGAAATTTTCTAAGCACTAAGATCGTCGAAGATAATGTATGGCGGTTTGTCGATCCATGAAACGATGAGTGAATAGAGATCGATATTGTATGCTTCGAAATAGAAAGAAAAACATGCCGAAGTACTTAACTAAAAACGTGAAAATATGGAGACCGAGGATATTTTACCGCAATATAAATAATTCGGTGTCTTGGTCGAAGAAATGTTTAAGACCTCAACGACGGATGACACAATGCTGCGTCATAGCGAATACTGTCTTCCTTTGCGATGCATAAAGTTTGCATCGATGTTTGCATCAAACAAATTGGATGTGAAATGTAAAGTGTTTTATCGAAATTCGAAGGAAGGTTATCGATGAGCTATATATTTTAGAAATTTGTTATACTTGTTATAAAGGAGAACCAAGTGATTGATGTACTCAGTATGACGTCAATGTCCAGCATAACGGCTTCGACGTTATGGAATTTTTATAATTTGTTTTCGATCGAGTGACACGGTTGAAAAGTGTTCCTTTGTTGAAGACTGATAGTTATCGATAAAATCAAACTTGAAAATTCACCTGACACGTGTACTTTTGAAAACGACTAACTGATTTATCTGTGTATTAAAGATAATCTATTACCCGATTATCGCTTGTAAAAAATATTTACATGATAATTAATGTAGTAGATCTTTATGAACACATAATGAAATATCTTATAAAAATGTTGTATCAGAAATTTTTACAGAAAATGAAAACAGCGTAAATAGGACAGTTAGGATACAACACGTTAACATATTTCAATTTCACGACTTGTTTCCTAAAAATTTTTAAATTGTTGTGAAGATATCTATATCTATAATTTATGCAAATAATAATAATCCTTATCTGTTTGTATTGCAACTTACCTATGCACAGTAACAATTACATATTTGACGACGTTAATTACATTTCGTTATCGATCATTTCACTTCTTGCCAATAAAGGCAAGGATACAACGATCTAGGACAATGTGGCTATAAAATGATCTGTACTAACATCGAGGTCGTGAAAAAGTGAGATTCACATGTTTGTACCAATTTTAGTTGCCAAACGATTATTATACAATTTAAGATTAAAATTTTATTGTAAAAACTGGAAATATTATAATATTATAATAATGACCTTGTAATGTAAATGAATATTGGTAATGTAAACAAAAATTTTAATTATGTAATTAAAATTAATGCAAGTTCAAATTCTATTTTACGAAATTAAATAATTATGAATTTTCTTTTATACTATAGTTAGAATATATATTTACTCTAACGATATATATGACTGTTAATTTTTTATTTTAGAAGCAAAATGAAAATCTAGTATTAAATTGCTTCAAATAAAAAGCTTAATTGTTTCTCTCACCCTTATCCCCTTCTCCATCGCATAAAACCACATTGTTCAACGTTACGACCACTCACCTGTACCGTGTATACTTCCTTAACGGCACGCGAACCAATAAGCAAACAGTCAAATATATCGTAAACAATACGTAAATAAGGTGGTGCTTTTAATTTACTCCGAAATTCGATCGTTTCCCTCGAATCAAGTAAGTACTTACTTATACACAGTGAAGTTACTTATACTTATAGTGAAGGTCTAAATCATTCACACAGCGAGATTGTAGAAATAAAAAAAGAAAATAGTTACATTTTTTATAACTATATTATTAGTTATGCAAAAATGTATAAACGTAATACATCGGTGTAACACGGTATAATTCATTAACGTGTATTACACATACATTCATTATAAATTAATTCGTATACAATATTAATATATGTTTATATTAATCACATAAAAAATATAGCTTTTTTTATTCCCACATTTTTACTGTAAGAATATCTTTATTCCCTACCATCCAAGCAATGGACTATATATTTTTTAATGCTAATACATTAATATAATCTAAATAATCTTAACAATCTAAATAATTTAGAATGTTATCAATGCATTTATTTTTGCTAGCCTGACGTTAAAAATAAACGGTGAAAACTCAAAATTCAAGGTTGGTAGCATACATACACGGGAACTACCCGACTGTCAACTTACCCACGAGGAACGTTCTCAAGCTGTCAGGGATGTTTTTGTTTCGCGTGTTTAGCGGACCTCCCCCAAAAATCGTCGAATCCACGAACAATATCGAATCGAAACCGATCCGTCGGTCAGCTTTCAGTCACGTGATCCCCCTCGATCGATATTCGCTTCGACGTTGACGTTCAGTCTTGGTCACGAACCGCGAACTTTTTCTCAACTGAACACGCGTAACCACTTCGATTGAACGCGCCCCGTGCACTGGAATAGAGAAACGTTAGGCGTTCGCCGACTGCGCGCGCTGAACATGTCGCTGGAAACATTTCTGAATACACCTGCCGGTAAAAAGAGGGCGCGACGTATCCCTCCGACGGTGTACGTACATACAGACCGCCCCAATCCGTTTTATTAGATTTAAAATCACGATGCTAATAAGTTAGGAACTCGGTCTTTGACGAGCTACCGTCATTTATTGATTTCATGAAAGTACCTAACAGGTAATCATTCTCTAGCGACGGCGATATTACGTTCAGAGAGAAAACAATGTTGTACAGAGTGGTGATCTAACTTTACCACTTTAAATTATTCGTCGGCTGTTTATTATGGGGAAAAAGTTTCAAACGAAAGTTCTGTATTATCAAAATGAGAGTACAATCTGATAATTACTTTTCTATCGTTTTGATTTCTTATCGACAATTCGGAAGGGTATTGAACGCTGAATAAAAAAGTATGTTGGGTGGAAAATGGATGCCATTACGCTTAATGAATTCAGTAAAAATGAATTATTTAATACTTTGGACTTGTTTTGTTTTCAGAAATTCATATACAACAATATTTAGTGAAAAGAATTATTTTTTGGAAAAATTCTTTAAAAAATATCATATATTAGTAAAAGTTTAATGTTGAGTATATTCTGACATTATTTGATGTTGATTAGATATTAACCACTAAACAGTTCCTTTCACTTACCACGTGCAATTCAAAAATTGTTACTTCTTTATTTTATTATTTTTCTTATTTCACTTTCGTATGATTTGCTGTGCTTTTAAAAAATGTTAGACTTGTTGGGACCGGAAATGCTAAATTCGGGATAACCTAGTGTCTTTCGTATAGTGTGTGTTGTCAGACGCCTCCAGCATTTATCCGACATACGTTTTTGTCAGTCGGGTTGCCATCGTATAGGCGGAATCTTATTTTTAACCAAAAATCGCAACCGATATTAACATTTTTTTATCTTCTAAAATAATAAATAAATTTCTAATAAATAATGATAGAGATAATAATAATTACAAGTTATTGTAAGTTGTTCATTGTATGTACTGAGTACGAAAAAGTAATTAGATTTCAAACTATAGAAGCCGATTGTAAGGACATGTACTTTATTGTAAAGACTATACGAAAGACATGGTGACACATCACTCTGTAGATATGATCGCAATCATTATTTCTCTGTTACTCTCTGTGTAGCTCTCCACGTACGTTTACAGCTCAAGCGCCAAGTTGATGGAGAAATAATTCAATAGATTGCATAGTTCCTAATATTTCAACCTGTATGTTGAACATACTTTCTGATTGTCATGTCATATGCTATATAATACGTAAAATACAAAATAACGATGAGTATTAGAGTTTTTTAAATGAAAAAAACACAATATAATTAAATGGTCAAATTAATCAATACATATTTATCTTTAATCGCGACTCGTATATACCATTCGTCATAGTACGATAACCGTAACACGTCGTGTTTGTCGCTGTAAACCGGTCATTGAATAATATTGCGCGAAAGAAAGAACTCTCTTCTTAAATGATGTCTGTGGTGAAGGTTAGTTTACTTAGATGTCGATGTAGCAAGTTCAGGTGTCGCCGTTATCGCACGTTCATTGACATGAAAATCGGATTTTATATTTTAGGCGCCCTCAAACGGATCGTACAATCCAACAGAAAAAGTTTAATGGTCACCCATGTAATTGCAAATGGCTGACATCACAGTAGAGGATGGGCCTTGATTTCGCATGCCCGAAATTAATAGTCCTAAAAATGTCGTTTAGTACCAACGCGCGGTATTTTTAACAGTGATTTTAATTGAAATTAACGTCATCATTTTACGCGTCTAAACGAAAGGTGAGTAAGTGTAACAAAAGTACGCGGGAAAAAATGACTCGTGGCTGAAGACACGCGCCCTCAGTTAAACTCATCCGGTAACCGTTTCAGAGCACGTAGCGTGTGGAAATTCGAATAAATCAATAGCATTGTGATTCTACGTGTTCGCGTTCGGAAAATTTCGCTTATTATGTGAAATGTATCGTAATATCGCCTGTGAGAGTACTTTCTACAAGCTGTAACGTACATAATCACGAGGAGAAGGTAAACAATGAATCTGTTCGCGCGGTATCTATTACACGCCGCGTGCTTTTAGTGCATTCCGTTACAGGTTTCGTACAATAACGTGCAATTATTGATCAAATTTGAAGTAATTCGACCTTTTCCTTTTTATACGGAGTAATTGTGCACCAAAATATTGATTCGTTATTAACAGTGTCTTTATAAATGAATTAATTGTAGAATTAACCCTTTCACTTCGACATCTGCGGCATCATACATCCTCAACATGCACGTATATGTTTCACATGTAGAAAGGAGAAACGTACGTTTATTGTGCCGTAAAAGAGTTTTGTTTATTCTAACACAACTAGCAAAGTGATATGTGTAATAAATAAGTTATTTTATTATCTATTGAAACGAAATGATGTGACGTTCTATATTTTTATGTGAAGGTATATGATTGATTTATTTGTTGCATTTATTCGTACGTATATTATTTGAAAGAGACAATCGTTATTAAATAATATAGGATATATATACATATATGAAATATATATATGCATGTGTATGTATATGTATGTACATATATGAGACATATATGTATAATGTATACATATACATTGAAATTAAATTAATATTGAATTTAAAAATTAAAATTCTATTTCTTTTTATACAGAAATTTGTGTGTCTACGTATACTTATATAATATTTTTAATTAAGAAGTTTAAAGCATTATGTGTATTATAAACTGTGTTATCAAATATTATTACTTCTGAAG